GCACATTTACTGCTTCCATTAATGGGTATATTCACTCAGAAAATTTGCTGTCCAGCTACTCTGTGTTAGGTACTGTGTGACTCCCAAGTCAAAATTTGCATCCCAGATTTCTCTTTTTATCTGCAGACCATATATCAAATTGCCTTCATTGGCTTCATATATGTGTGAAATATATATAGTTTACATTTACACTATTATTCTAGAAACTGGGATTTCAGTGCAAATGATTTCTTTTTTTAAAGATTTATTTATTTATGCATACAAGAACTGGGGTACAGGCCAGAGGTGTGGGGGGTGAAAGGATCCACCAGAGACAGAGTGGGGAACAGAACAGGCAGGTTGACTGAAGTACACTGCTGAGGGGAGCAGCGGGCGAGTCAGGAGAGGTCTACTGCACCATGTGGGTTGCTCTCTGGCTGGCCAGGAGATAGAACTCGTGCTGCAGAGGCTGCGGACTGCCTCATAGATTGTGTCTTAACCCCTTGCACCACCAGGGAGGCCCACAAATGATTTCTTAAGGGTATTCCCTTCAAGGAATTCCCTTGTATTACAAGGAATACCCTTGTATTACAAGGAATACCCTTGTAAGGGTATGGGGAGTTGGAGATGCAGAGTAGGGAAGGGGAAGTTAAAATCTAGCTGAGACTGACTAGGGAAATGGGGAGACCAGATTTACTCCACCTTGCAGTTAAGAATCTGAGAGTTGGCACCAATGTATAGATGAAGCGCTGGCTCCCTTAGGATGGGACTGTTAACTACCCAGGTGTGTCTTGGTGAGGTGGTACTGATCAGGTAAAGGCAGGTCCCCAGAGATGTTCACAGGTATAAGCTAATGGTTGCAACACTCATGGAGCTGGGGGTGGGCACAGCGGTCAACAGAGGACCCCTGGGGGGACACCAACAGTGTCTCCTACAGCAGTAAGACTTGAAGACAATATGGCTGGCAGCATGTTAAGTGTGTGTTAACAAACTTAATCTTTAAAATAACCCTATAATGTAGATACTATTATTCACATTTTACATAAGGAAATGAGACATAGCAAAGCCAAAAGTAACCTGCCCAAGTTTCCTAAATAAGTAGATGAAGGAGCCAGGATTCAGATTGAGGAATGATGCTTCTAGATTCCACACATTTAACCTGCTCCCTCTACTTCCTGGGTGTATTGAGTCTTAGCATGTGCCAGCCACTGTATTAGGGACTCCAGCTGTGAAATGACTATAAAACCCCTGCCTTCATTGAGGCTACTTGCTAATGAGGGAAGGTGGGCAATAAATGAATAAGTAAAATGCCTGATTCAGATGATAATAAGTGCTAAAGGGAAAAAATGTATTAGGGAGGGAAAGTAGGAAGTGCCAGGTGATAGCTGTAGCTTTAAACAGGGGGAGCCAAGGAAAACTTCACTTAAGAACATTTACACCAAGATTTAAAGGTTTTTTTTTTTCTTCTGCTTTCATCACTCCCTCTGGTGACTCCAATTTACTCTCTGTCTGCACAGCTGCAGACTCAACTACTAAACCTCCTGATCATGTTCCCTCTCTGATTGAACCTGTCAGTGGTTACACTGCCCAGGTAGACCAGACTTCAGACCATGCTCTGCTTGCCTTCTCTTCCTGCCCCCCAGCCTGCAGGGGGCCTCACCCATGATGGGGACACCCCAGCTCACACATCCATGTTCTATTCACGTCTTTGAAAATAGCAATACTTTGCCACCCCTCAGGCCTACTGATATTGGTAGAATTACTTATCTTTGTGGGTGCTGAAAATAGGCTAAGGGTACTCTGGGTAGAAAATATTAGGGTTCTGGGCACTGAGAACTTGGTCTACAAGAGATGGGGAGTGGGTAGCAAGGCAAGTCTCATTGTCTCCTGGGGGGTGGTGTGCAAGTGGAGAGTCAGAACCAGGGACACGGCGCCCTAGAACATTCACAGCACCACTCTGTGAGAGCTCGTCTCCTCTAACCCACATGCTTAGACCAAATTGAATTACTTGCACTTGAATCCATCATGCTCCTTTGCTTGTGTGATTTTGTGATTTTGCACAGACTAGAGAAAGAAGGTCAGCCACTTGGATTCTGCCCTTATTTCCCCCATCTCCTGTGAACTCTCTTACCTAATCCCTCCATCACAAACCCAATCATAAAAACACCAGAGGTAGGGTGAAGTAGTGGGTATAATATGATATAATGGCCTGGGTATGGGCTATAATGTCTTTGATCCTGGTTTTGACTCTTTCCCTAGCCACTTACTAGTCATGCAACCTTTAGCAAATTCTGTGCCTCAATTTCATCATCTCTTACATGAAGATGAAGATATTTATACCAAGTTTATAAGGTATTGTGAGGATAAAGTAAAATCACAAATGTCAAGTTTCCAAACACAGTCCCTGGTATAGAATAAGTTCTGGGTAAAAAGTTCCTTTCTGTCTTCCAGCTATGCATTTTACTTAAAATCAAACATACAGAGTGCCTTGGGAGATTAGGCTATTTTCACAGAAAGTTGCCAATTAGATTAACTTTCAGTGTTCAGACCCTGGCTTCTTTCCCTTCCTTCTGAGCTAGTGAGAACTTCTAGGAAATATTAATACCTGATATCTACTTTTAGTTGTCAGAAATTAATAGATAATAGTGTAGATAGCCAGCTACAGACCACCATTTAGAGCATGGCTTAGTCAAACTCCAGTTCTTTTGACTATTTGATATCAGGTATGGAGATTTCTCGTGTTAGCCTAAATGTAACTGTGATGGAGACTGAGGGGCAGTTAAACAAGTCAGTCATCTCTGAGGAAAGGCAAGACCCACAGTTAGCTGACATAAGTGGGTATGTAACAAATGTGAGTTAAGCTAAATGAAACTAAGCTCAGTGTGAAAAATCATTAAACCCTAGTAGGAAAATGGGGAAAAGAAATGATCAGGTAAGTCACAGAAGAAATACTTAGCAGCTGGTAGATATAAGCTTAATCAAAGAAATGGAAATTTAAATATAGCACAAGATTTTTCCTAGAAAATGAGCAAAGATTTTAAAAATTCAATGACCAGTGCTAGTGAAGATAGATTAAGTGGGTTACTTTTGTTGCTGGGGAACATGTAAATTCTGTTACATGTTTACATATCATAACATGTTACATGTTATATGCTTTTCTGTAAAGCAGTAATGAGAATGACTAAAACAGTTATGTTTTAGGTATAAGATGGACTATGTGTCATTAAGTGAACTAGTTCCAATGAAATTTTAGACACAAGAGAAAACTACATTATAGTGAGAAGTAGATTATATAGTATGAAAATTACATGCATAAAAAGACAGACAGAAAATAGGCCGGATTATTATAAATTCCTGTCATTAGCATCTCTCATAAAGATCTTTGAATATTTTAACTTTTCTATAATTACCAGCTGTTTATCTTATAATTGGAAAGAACTCCCATAATTTAATTAAAAGTCACATTGCTTCAGACAGCAGGGCAGAGGAAATTATTGATGGAAGACTCTGGACACTTGTTGACTTAGTGTCAGAGAAGGAGAAGAGGCAATTCCTTTCCTTTAGGGACCAGGATTTGGGAAGAAACAAAAGACTCAGCCTTTTTCCCATGCTGAGTCTAATCCTTTATATCACAAAAGTGGGAAGAGTCTCCTTATGGGGAGTTTCCTTTTTAACTGGGAGGCCTAAGTAAGAGCCCTTATGCCTGAGACAATCACACACTCAGGGGAGCTGTGGTCTCTTCACCAGACTATGACATTCTCATCCCTGGTTGAGATTTGAGAATGAAGTCTGAAAGGAGGTTTTGTTTTCTTTCATGGCTTTACCCCCAGTAGTTTTAAGTGACTGATATATGGTGGTGCACATCTGTGGGTCATGTAACATGCACCCTGGTTCAAATAACTACAATCTGGGAAATAGGAAATTAAGGAATAGATCCTCAGGAAATACATTACCAATATTTATATAAAAATGTGATTTAACCAAAGTCTATTTTGACTTATAAAATAAGTGCATAGGTTTAATAAACTGAAAAAGAACCCTCACTACCAAGACATAAACTTACTTCCAAACTAAGATGTTGACCTTCACTTTTTTTTCTTTCACTCTTAGGAGTATTGGTTGAAGTTCAAGTATTTACATAAACTTTGCTACTTAATAAGTTATATAACAACATCTTGATTCACTTAGTCTGGTTATTTCCTGGTTTTCAAGATGGTCACTGTCATTTCATCTGACCTTGATTTCATGAGTAGTTTGCCTTCTCTTAGCTTCCTGAAATGTGCCTTTTTACACCCTGACTCTCATGATGGAAGAACAAGACAATCAGATCCATCCATTCATTCCCACCTGCGCTGTCTATGAGCAATCAGCATGGTTCAGCAACCTTTTTTTTTTTTTTAGGTTGACATACACTTTGAACTCAAGTTACATCCTAAAGTAAATACAGAGGAGGAAAATATATGTTATTCATGCTTTGTGTCATCTCAAATCACTTAATAGAATAGGCTGAGAACCCTTTATTGAAAAGATTCTTTGGTCCAGTTTGGGTTCATGGCATAACGTACCAGTGTCTGCCTTTGGTGTGGGCATGGGGAAGGACATCCATCCCAGATTTAAGGGCAGCTAGGACCCTGTCCTTTAGAGAACTGGTATTCAAATGGGGGAAATACTATTCATCTCAGGAACAAGAGAGGGAGACAAAAATGAAAAGAAAATCAAACATGAGTGTAAATACTCAAACACTAAACTTCCCAACAGGTGCAGTGAACTAGAGGGGAGGCTGAGTTATTTTTAAGAGCTGGGAGAAGGCAGAATGCCCTGAGTCAGATGGGGTTAATCTACCAAAGGCTTCTGAGACAGTACATTTTGAGTTGCATTGGAAGGTAGCCAGGAGACCTGGTGTGAAGTTGGAAGGGTGGTCCAAATTAAAAGGAATGCAGGTTTCTGGATGCCTTTCGACTGTGTATGCCAAAGTCTCAGCTCCCCAGAGTGACCATGCCTGACCTCTGACCTCCCCACAGTGAGGACGTGTGCAAACGTGGCTTCACCGTCATCATCGACATGCGGGGCTCCAAGTGGGACCTCATTAAGCCGCTCCTTAAGACGCTGCAGGAAGCCTTTCCAGCCGAGATCCATGTGGCCCTCATCATCAAACCTGACAACTTCTGGCAGAAGCAGAAGACCAACTTTGGCAGCTCCAAATTCATCTTTGAGGTGAGCCAGACCTCTCTCAGCACCTCCCCTCTCTTTCCCTTCTGCCATCCGCACATTTCTCACTTCCACGTCTCCGTTTACTCTGTGATACCCAACATGACAGGGGCTGATACTTCAGCATTCCTTGGCTATTGTGGCCTTTCTTAGAGTCTGGGGTGGAATGAGAGAATTGAGAGATTCCCAAATGCGAGGTGTCATTGGACACTCCTATTTACTATTGCTGAGTGTGTAAATTGGGGCAGTATTAACTGGCAACACTGTGATTTGTGTCAAATGTCTTAAAATAGTTTATATCCCTTTTTCTAGTAAATCTTCTAGGAAAATATTTTAATGTAAAACTTAAACAAAACAAAAAGATGAAAGCTATATGAACAAAAATGTCTCCCAGGATATTCATTATAGTGTATTTGCAGTAAAACACATGTATGTATACACACCAAACACACACACACACACACACACACACACACATACACACAGAGAGATTGGAGCCTGTGTATTAGCTTAAGTTTGGTAACATTAATACACAAATGCTATAAAGTCATTAAAAATCATATTTAGAAAAACAATGTCATTGAAAAATGCTCATGAAATATATTGTTTTTAAAAAAGGTGGATTATTTTAAGCGTAGGTATAGAGAAGATCAAGAGGCACTTGAAATTCTGGCCACAAGGGATGGCTGGATTATGAGTGATTTTTATTCTCATATTTTTCTATTTTTTTTTGAGAGTTGCTTTTATATTCAGGGAAAACAAGTAATTTTTCAAACTAGAATTTTCCAGAGGGCATGTGTGTCCCCTGAGAATTTTTAATGATGATGCATGAGATTAAATGAGTGATTTAAGAATCTTTGTTCTAACCAAATACCCTTTCTTGGAATTCTGGTCCTCATGTGTAAGAGGGTGAAACTTGGTGTGTGTGTGTGTGTGTACATTGGAAAATGGAGCTGCTCTTAATCTTGCAGTCACTTCCTGACTCTTGTGCTCCAGGGGCTGGGAGCACCTATGTGTGTTTTGAGGGGGTTGGCCCCAGCAGGCTGTCATTTGATCACAACAACCTCACTGAAGTAGTTTTCACTCTTGTAAATAACATAAGAAATTTCTCTTGGTATACAAACAGTTAACTCTCATAGTCTCCCAACACCCCTACCCAATGATACCAGTCCTGTAGGGAAATGCTTTTTGTATTTTTGGTTTGTTTATACAGAGATGGTGACAACAAGCCTATAAGCTTAGGTTTAGAAACCTGAAGAGACTGAAAATAATCTTTCAAAAAGTCTGGAACTTTTGCTTCAGTGTAGCTGCCTAGCACTTTTTATCTCCCTGCACCCCACTTCTCCCTGAGTAGAGCAAGCTTGTCTCTGTCTCTTAAACAAGAAGTACAAGAAAGATAGTTGAGGCCCTCTCACTCAGCCCTGGGTCTGTCCATTGCACTGAGAAGGGCACTCCCTGAACTGGAGACCTTGCATGGAGCTGAGGCAGGAAGATCTACTCAGAACCCTATAGCTCTATTACTGACCTTACTCCCATATGGTAATATCCTGGATCATGGGCCTGGTTTTATTTTATTTTATTTTTAAAGATTTATTTTTATTTATTTATGCATATTGGGGTATAGGCCAGAGGTGCAGGGGGTGACAGGGCCCACCAGATATAGAGCGGGGAGCAGAGCAGGCAGATCCACTGAAATACACTGCTGAGGGGTGCAGTAGGCGAGTCAGGAGAGGTCTGCTGTACCATGTGGGTTAGCTCCCTGGCTGGGGATCAAACTCATGCAGCAGTGACTGGTGATAGCTTGATAGCACTGGTGGTATGGGGGTTAACTCTAACCCCATGGGGGGTTAGAGTTAACCCCCATACCACCAGGGATGGGCCTGGTTTTAAAGCTTTGCTGACCTGGACCCCCAGGCACTTATCTGTTAGTCTTCCCACTTTTCCTTTCAGCAGCTGAAGCCTTGTTGTCGTTGACTTCCAGGAGGAAAGGAGAAAGATGAGAGAGCAGAAACATAAAGGCAGTCTTTCCTTGAATGGCAAATGGTGGGCAAGTGGAGAAGCTTTTTGAGCAAGTCAGCCAGGCCGTTAAAACTCCTGACCCTGGCTGGTTTGTGGCTTTTGACCAATGGGCCTCTCCCCTCCCATTCACCCTTTCCTACACATGGTGTGTTCCTTATTGTGTGGCCTTATCTTGACCTTTCCCCTTGACTGTCTTTCTTTGTGCCTTCTATGCCCTGATGTGCACTCCCCTGCCTTCCCCCCATCACGGAGTCTTACTCTATGTTTCTAACCCTCCCAGACGAGCATGGTGTCCGTGGAGGGCCTCACAAAGCTGGTGGACCCCTCCCAGCTGACGGAGGAGTTCGACGGCTCCCTGGACTACAACCACGAGGAGTGGATCGAGCTGAGGCTCTCCCTGGAGGAGTTCTTCAACAGCGCAGTGCACCTGCTCTCTCGCCTCGAGGACCTGCAGGAGATGCTTGCCCGGAAGGAGTTCCCCGTGGACGTGGAGGGCTCTCGGCGGCTCATCGATGAGCACACGCAGCTCAAGAAGAAGGTGCTGAAGGCTCCTGTGGAGGAGCTGGACCGCGAGGGGCAGCGGCTGCTGCAGTGCATCCGCTGCAGTGATGGCTTCTCAGGGCGCAACTGCATCCCAGGCAGCGCCGACTTCCAGAGCCTGGTGCCCAAGATCACCAGCCTGCTGGACAAGCTGCACTCTACCCGGCAGCACCTGCACCAGATGTGGCACGTGCGCAAGCTCAAGCTGGACCAGTGCTTCCAGCTACGACTGTTTGAGCAGGATGCTGAGAAGGTAGGAGGAGGCAGCCAGACCTGAGCAGTGGTGGGCTGGGGATAGACCTTTTTCGAGAAACTGGTAGAGGATCCTGCTCCAACTTACTGATGAATGATAATGCATTTCTGAAAAGCTTTCTAAAAATGTGGCTGTTGGTTTTATCTGATGTGTTTATCTCAGTTTTGCATTTGGCCATGAGTAACTGACTTTTTAACCTCCCTTTGTAGTCTTTATTATCAGGCACTGTTCTAAGCACTATGTAAATTAATTCATTTGCAATTTCTCAAAATTCTTATGGAGCAGGTGTATTATCATGATCCCATTTTAGAGATGAGGAATCAGAGAGACTAGATAACTTGACCAAACTTGGAAGGGCAGTGTGGCTGCAGAGTCCACACTTTTACTCACTGTTGAACACTGTTCTCTGGACATGCAGTGAGTGGTCCAGCCTGTTCAGCAATGAAACCTATGCTGTTAGCAGCCACAATAGCTCAGCTTAGTGATTACTGTCCTGCAGGGTACTTGACTGCCAACAAAGCAATTTAATACAACAAAGCAAAGATTTGTTTAATCTGGGCGGCTTAATCGGTCCTTTGAGGTGGATGGTGGTGTCTCTGTTGATGTGCAGGGCCACAAGCAAGTGCTCCTGGATTTGGGGCTACAATGGCGACTTGGGAAGCCTGCTCTCTTTCATTTACAATCCAAGACTCTTCCTACCATACTACTTCTTTCCTCAGCTTCTGAGTAGTTTCTCAAACAAGACTCCTTTTTTTTCCAGCACTGAATTTTCTAAGCTTTCCCCTTATCAGGGAAGATGTGAGGAAATAAAAATGAAAAATTATACATATACATAGTGCCTCTTTGCTGAGGACACAAAAATATCTTCTCTGGATGCTCTTCAAGTTAAAGGAAAGAATACTATTATGTGTGCTTTAGGAAGAGTGAATTGACTGTTCTATCAATTTTCTGAAAATAACATATTTAAATGTATAATACCACTCTTACAAATACTGTGACATCTCTTAGTAACCTGTGAGTTTTACAGACAGCCTTTGATATGATGGTTTTGTGTCTTTTAAGAGCCATACTTAAATGTCTCTGGGTATTTTTAAGTGATGGAATCATGATATAAAACTAGATAATTATGATCCCAATTTATGAGAGTGCCAATGTAGGTAGAACTGGAAAAAAAAAAAGTCCTCCACAGTGATAATAGTTTTTATTTCTAAGAGCCAGGTAAATCTAAAGGATTGATTTAATTTATATACATTTCCAGTGTTTTCCAATATTATCTAATTTATAATCAGAAGAAGAGCTCTTTCTCTCTCTATATCTACATATATATACACACACGCATATATAAATAATATGCAGCCCTCTTCTACACCAGAATTTTTGAACATCATTTGTGAGTTTTTGAAAAAGACATGTAAAGTGTTTTAGCTCAACTTGAGGGGTTTCAAGTTTACCCCTGACCTTCCTGAGGACTCTGCTGTGTCTGGGCAGCTTGGGTTTGATCCTGGTCTAGTTGCTCTGGAAGGGGCCATTTGGACTACAGAATCCCACCACTACTCACCAAGTGATGAGAGATCAGGTCAGGATTCAGATGGTCTGTGAAGCCAGGGGCAGGTACTTTTGCTTCTGTGACTAGAATTGGAAAGGTCTAGAACATCATCTTTTTCTTAGGGTCTTTTCTATTCTAGGGCAGGGAATCTGTTTGCAGCCTGACCTGGGTACCTATTTTAGTAAGCCAGGCACAGAAGGGAATATGGGGGACTTAAATCTTCCTAGACATGCTAGAGTTTGAGGCACCTCCTATATCTCTGAAGCTCAAGGGTGTGAGAAGACTACACAGGTCACAGATCATGTTTGACTCAAAAACAAAATAATAGCCCTCCCACCACTCTGCAACTAGGACCTGCTTCACAATCCCACTGAACACTACCAGTATCCTTTGTGTCCATGCCCTGATGACTGAGGAAAAACTCATACCTCACGTTCTAATGTTCATTTGACAACAGAGACTCCTAACCTTTCTCTGCTGTGGACTCCTCATTCGATGAAGACTATCATCCCCTTCTCAGAATATTTGTAAATGTACAAAGTTTACATATATGTACACGTATGCACATATACATACATAAGTATGTATTAGATGTATACTTGGAAACAATTGAAATACAATTATATTAAATTTAAAAATATAGTAGCAAAATGTACTTCTTTAATACATATTAAATAATGAAATCTACTAGAAGTACCACTAATTGGAAGTGCTGATAAGCACACATATTTCAAGACAATGACCCTCATGTAGTATGTGATGTCTACTGATGTGAGAGGCACAACTTTTGCTAACATTAATGTAGTTTGTCGTGTATGTTCATAATAGAAGAGAATATTATATTTCAGTTAGAGGTTGATTAAAATAAAAGCATACTTTATTTTTCCCTCTCCAAGTATATGATCCCTGAATTTCTATGCATGGACACTTAAGGATCCATTTTTCCATGGTGTGTTCATAAAAAGCAGCGTGTGTGTGTGTGTGCGCGTGTGTGTAGAGGAATGGAGGAAGGGGGAAAGATATCAAAACCAAAACAGAGGAAATAAAAGGATGATGGGAAGAGGGAAGCTCAGGAATATTTTGATTTGAGTCAGTGGTGAAAATGCTGCTCAGGCTTGACCCAGCTGCCACAGAAAATGTGCTGGGTGTGGGGTGGGAGAGAAACAGTCCTTTTAAGTTGCTTCAAGATTAATTTAAAATATCTGTGCAGAACTAAGTACCTCAGCCCTTGACTTACTTGGCATTTTTGAGAGGGAACAAGGAAAGTTGGGGGTGAGGGTTGTGTGTGCAGATCTACATCTAAACAAGGCTGTGAGGAAATAGTTCCTGTGTGAGCCATGTCATAGGCTCCTTTGTGGGAGGCTCCTTGGAGACTTCTAATTCCACGTCTGGGAAGCTCTTGGCAATCAAAGGAGTCTCTGATCACTCAGCTTCTATTTTGTAAAAGGAGTGGGTGCAAAGTCTCCCCTCTGACCCAGTGGGGTGACAGCTTATTTCTCAGGGATCCCTTACCAGCTGACCATGGGGAGTGAAACCACCTTTCACCACCTTCCCCTGATCCCTGTGTTCCTTATCTTGGTGGTGATGAGGAGGGCGCCATCTCTCTCCCAATTCAATTTTTAGGGAGGTGAAGTTCTATTTGACAGTAATTCATAAAGCAGGCCACCTATTAATTTAATAAATGTCTTTTGAGCAGCCTGTCTTGTGTCCAGAGCAAGACACTTAGATACAGACAAGTAGGCCAGAATTTCTGTCCTGGAGCAATAAGGCATCTAATAAAGGAGGTGGACACACAAACTCCCATTTATTATTATTTATGTTTGCTTTTTGCACCCCACTGTCCTAGGTACAATACCTATGCTTGGGGAGTTTTCAGACAAGAGGGAATATTGCAACCCAAATATCAGGAAAGCCTTAATGAGCAATTTGTAGAAGAATGGGTAATTTAGAGGTGATTCAAGTAACACAGAATGCTTGTTGTTTGCAAATAGGACCAAAACTGATTTTTGTAAATTGATTTTTAACCTGTCACCTCACTGTACTAATTTATTGTTTCTAATAGTTTTGTGTGTGCAATGTCTTTAGGGTTTTCTATGTATATTATCATGTCATCTGCAAATAGTGATATTTTAAATTTTTCTTCCCCCATTTAGAGTCCTTTTATATATTTCTCTTGCCTAATTGCTCTAGTTAGGACTTCCACTATTAGTTGAATAGTAGTAGTGAAAGAGGACTTCTTTGTCATGTACCTGGTTTTAGGGAAACAGCTTTCAGTTTTTCATTACTGAGTATGTTAAGTATAGGTATGTATGACCTTTATTATGTTGAGGTATGTATCATCTGTCCCCATTTTTTGGAAGTTATTTATCCTAAATGAATGTTAAATCTTATCAATTGCATTTTCAGCATCTGTTGATCATGTTTTTTGTCTTTCCTTTTGTTGATCCGGTAAATATTATTAATTGCTTTTTAGATGTTGAGCCATACTAGAATAAATCCCTCTTGGTCATGACCTTTGAGCCTTTAAATGTAATATTGAATTCAGTTTGCTAAGATTTTGTGGAGGATCATTGCATCTATGTTCATCAGGTGTATTGATCTATAATTTTCTTTTTGTGATGTTTTTTCTCCCTTTGGTATCGGTATAATGTTGCCTCATACAATGTGTTTGGAAACATTCCCTCTCCCTTATTTCTTTAGAAAAGTTTGACAAGGACAGGTATTAGTTGATCTTTGGAAGTTGGAGCAACTTACTAATGAAACCATATGGTCTTGGACTTTTGTTTTTTGGGAGAACTTTGATTATTGTTTCAATATCCTTGTTTGTAATTGATCTGCTTAGTTTTTTTTTTTAAGATTTATTTTGTATTTATACAAGAGCTGGGGTACAGGCCAGAGGCGCGGGAGGGTGAGAGGATTCACAAGAGACAGAGTGTGGAGCAGAATAGGCAGACAGACTGAAAGCACTGCTGAGGGGAGCAGCAGGCATGACAGGAGAGGTCTGCCGCGCCATGTGGGAATCTCCCTGGCAGGCCAGGAATGGACTCACGCTGCAGAGGCTGTGGACAGCTTTACAGCACTGTGCTCAACATGCTGCAGCCACAGGGGAGGCCCTGATCTGCTTAGTTTTTCTATTTCTTTCTGATTCAGTGTCGGAGGGTATATTTTTCTTTTTTTAAAAAAAGATTTATTTATTTATGCATACAAGAACTGGGATATAGGCCAGAGGTGCAGGGACTGAGAGCATTCGCTAGAGACATAGTGGGGAGCATAACAGGCAGACGGACTGAAAGCACTGCTGAGGGGAGCAGCGGGCGAGACAGAAGAGGTCTGCTGCGCCTTGTGGGTCGCTCCCTGGCCAGCCAGGGATTGAACTTGTGCAGCAGAGGCCACAGACAGCTTAATAGTACTGTCCCTAACCCCTTGCTCCACCAGGGAGACCAAGAGGGTATAT